TCAGCCTATCTTGTCTGCTTCTGTATTTGTAGCTACAAATATAGGATGGGATATAGAGCAAAGTTACGAGTAGAGATGTATGTACGTGCAATTTGGAGCTTCCTTCAATAGCCATGGAAAATATGGAGTAACCAAATCTGTCACATTTCAAATATATAATATTTTATGTAGCCACTTCCAGTAAACTGTGCTGTCTTAGAAGTCTGAGGGAATCAACACATTTGCCTCATGATACTGGTGTCCTGAGTGTGCATATAGATGGTTATAGATGCTTTCAATCCGTGCAGTTTTTCATTAGCGTTCTGGACAATACTTAGTCATATTCCAGCCTATACTAGATCAGCCTTTCATAAAACTGTCATTAACATCTTTACTGATGATTCAGAACCAAAAGGTATACCAGAATTCTGTATTTTAACAGCAGGGTATTAAACGTACCTGTTAAATTACTAGGAAGATGACTGTCTTGAAGAAAAAATAGGCTCATTTCCAAACAGCAACATTTTTGACATCTGGCAGACCCATGGTCCTAAAAGAGATTATCTTAAAAATGACAGGGGTTGGAATTGGGATACCCTGTAAGACCACTTGCTGCTCTAAAGTTCAGCGATACCTTGAAATGTTGGTTTGGAATTTTGTGATTATATTGTTCACTTTGAAAAAGGCTTCCTCTTCTGCCACTTTACTACTGATTTCCTCACCAGAGGCATTCTATTAGTAATTTCTGCATTTATTTCCATTGGTTTCAAGTCTTCTAATAGTCTTATCTTCTCACTCCTTTGATAATGCTGCTCTGGATCCTATCATTTTTTCCAGATGCCCTATGTCACAGTTTGGGTTCACCAATGTATTAGTTTCCTATGGCTGCTATAACAAAGTACCAGCAAGAGGGTGGCTTAAGACAACAGGCATTTATTCTCTCACAGTTCTGGAGGGTAGAATTTCGAATTCAGGATGTTAGCTGCGCCGTTTTCTCTTCCAAGGCCCCAAGGGAGATTCTTTTTTGCCTCTTCTAGCTTCTGGGAGCTGCGGGTGTTCCTTAGTTTGTGGCAGCATAACTCTAGTCTGCTGCCTCTACATCTGTCTTTTACGGACACTAGTCATGTTGGATTAGAGCCCACTCTACTCGAGTATGACCTATGTTTACTGATTACACCTGCAAAGACGCTAGATCCAAATAAGGTCACATTCACAGGTACTGGAGGTTAAGACTTGAACATAGTTTTTGGAGGAACACAAATCAACCTCTAACAACCAGGAAGCAGGCTCTGGGTTGGAGATCAGTGTGCAGGAAGTTTATTGGAAAGTGCTTGTGAGATCAACCCCTGTGGAAGAGAAGGAGTGGTGAGAGGGAAAAATTGGGCTATCATGCAGTCTCAATGAAGAGCTGACCCCAAGACAAGCTCTGAACCTGGGATGGCTCTTCATCATTGTCCTGAGTTAGAGTGAGGAGATCAGGTCTTTATACCCATTGTGGCAATAAGTCTTTGGCTGTGGGCTGCCTTGCGAAGAGGTTGTGACCTTGCGTGACAAGACCATTCAGTCATTTTGAAAGAGGGCTGAGAGCTGAGGACTGTCTGCTGGCAGTACTCACAGCAGCTGGGGAATAAATTTTTCAGGGGATCTGGTGGCACATCACAGTTTCTACCCCATTTTATTTGCATGGGTGCAGGGACATGGTTCAGAATGGCCTGGGGGTAGGTCAGAATTTTCCAGGAATGAGGAGTTGCAGGGCAGAGTGGACAGGAACTTGAGAGATGTTAGAGAACCAGGAGTTTATGTAGAATAGGTTTTATCAGACAACTGAGTTGTGGTGTTGATCATTGCTTTTCTAAATAAATTTTAAAAGTGCTGTATATCTATGGGAGTCCCTGGGTGGTGCAAATAGTTATCATGCTCAGCTGCTGACGTAAAGATTGGAGATCGAAATCCACCCAGATGCTCCTTGGAAGAAAGGCCTGGCGATCTACTTCCAAAACACCAGCCACTGAAAACCCATGGAGCACAGTTCTACTCTGCCCACGTGGGGTCACTGTGAGTCGGCGTCCGCTCGGTGACAGCTGGTGTATCTGTCTGTAGTGATGCTGTCCCGCTTTAAGTACAGAAACCTGCTGAAAACTCTTAAGTATGCAGAAAAATGTGCATATCTTTCTGCACATAAATTTGATCTGGTTTTTGCAATACTTATCTGTTTTTCAGTTTCTAATTCTTTATAGGTCCTTTTTTCTTTCTTTATCTCTCTAATAATTTTAATACACCTTTTGTCTTCAGATGAAAAAAATAGTTGTTTGAAGTGCTACATTTTGTTTGGTGTATTTGCTAAGGCTCAATCACACTGAATCATTTTCTCATAATTTTCATCGTCAGTGACAGCTGGTTTTTATTTTTGTTTTGTTTTTCTACCTGCAGAATTCCCATGTGGCCTGGTTTATGTAGTAGTACTTTAAAGTGGTTTGATATTTTGGCCAGATACCCAAGGATATCACTGGTCCAGAATTCAGTTTTTTTCTTAATTTCTTAGCTTGGAGATTCTCATACAAATAAAATTCAGACTTCAAAATTGTTTGTGGCACAGGCATAGGGTTTTAATTTCTGGTTATAGCATTTCCCCTGCCCCCTCACCCGGATGCTCAGAGACGAACCCCCCAGAAGTTAGACTGAGACAGTGGGTGGATTCGTCCTATTCCCCACCTTCTAACTGTTTAGATTACAGCCCTTTGAAGACAACTCTGTTTTTATAGAGAGACTTCAGTTCCAGCTCTCTAACTCGTGCACCCGGGACCTCTTCTTCTCAGCATTAGGATGCTGCATGCAGTTGTGTGTATTGTCTCCTGTGCTCAGGAGGGGTGGGATCAGTCAGGTAGCTTGGCTCTGCTCTCCTGAGAGAGCACTTTCTTTATGATCTCTCCTCCATAGCTGGTATCTCACTGCCAATTTCAGCCTGCACCTAAGTGCTGAAGAGACTCGGGTGATTGGTTTTCGTGCTCACCACTTCAGCCATTGGTGCTAGCTCTGGTTTTAAACCAGGGAATTTTCTTTATTGCAAGTCAAGCTTTATTTTGATATTGTTATACTTTTTTCCTCCATCTTTTCTAAGTGTTTATAGTTTTTCATTAGCTCAGTTGACCTTATTGCTGCACCTAGAATTCCCACAAGTTACTTACTAACCCCTCTTCCCCAAATTTTGCCTCTTTAAAATGAGAGCACACCCACTGACTCACCAGCTGTCTCCTTATTCGACATTTCGCATTTATGAAAATAATAAAGCATCTACTATCTGACTGTTTTACGCATTAGCGACGTACATCTGGCAGTAAGGAAGGCAGAGGTGCTCCCTTGTGGCCCTGCCTGACCTGCTCTGTACCCCTCTGGTAACTATGGATATAATAAACTTACTTTCCATGGTCTCCCTGACTCATCTTTCCCTTGTGCGCCCCCTCCCCCCATTTGCCATCCTGCACTCACATTTCCTATTAGGCAAGGCACCGCCACTGATACAAGCAGTCATTGGCTAAAATGCTGTCTGCCTTTGACAGCTCAAGTTTGCCGATTCCTCACCCCCAAGTTGCCAGGAGATAGCATTTTGCCTAGTAACGGCCCACTGTCACTTGCCATTGGCCATGGTGCCTGGCTCCTGCCCCTGAGTGTTGGCTTGGGAGATTTGAGCTTTGTCTCCACAGCCAGCAGTCATGGCTGTTCCTGTAGCTGCTGCTTTGGCCCAAGCCCTTGTCTGGGGTCTGCAGGAGTGGAGGATCGGGGCTAGCGCAGAGGGTGGAGGACGTCTCCTGGGAGTGGCTGGGCACCGCTGTGTCACCTGGTTCTGTAGAGCTGAAGGAAGAGTCCTTTCTTGCGTTGGAGTTAACTTTGGAAAAGTGGGTTCCCATGGCGGGGGACCCTCAGAAGTGTATTGAGGGGTGTCATGAACAAGGTGTGCCTGTTAAGTGGGTGCCTGCACCGATGGGTTTGGGCTGAGGATTGGAACCTGCATTTTAAATCTCAGGGTAGCGTCTGGGGCTGTGCAGCTAGGGGTTTCTGTGGTTTTCTAATGGCCTCCCTAGCCTCAGGGTACTAGTGGGAGTGTTTACAGCCCACCCCAGTACAAACCTGTCACTCAGAGTCTCTCTGGCAGAATCGTGGGCTAAGGGGTATGAGCCAGCGTGTGTGCCCACCCACCCCAGCCCAGAGGGCGCCCTGTGAAATTGGTGGGGAGGAGGTGGACGAGGGAATAAAAGGAAGGTGTAGTCCTTGGGAATACACCAGCGGAGGGGACAAGGGCTCCATACAGTCTTTCAAAACTGCAGTGGTTGTTGTCAGAATATACCTCTTGGATGGAACTTGCAACTTTATTTACCTCGCTGGGGTGTAAGGCAAGAGTACTGCTGGCTGTGATGGTTAAGGTTATGTGTCAACATGACTGGGCCATGATTCTCAGTGGTTTGGCAGTTACATAATGATGTATTTTGGCAGTTATATAATGATGTAGTCATCTTCCATTTTCACATAACACCAATTTTCGCGTAACGACCTGGTCTTTGGAACCTAACCATGTTGATAAGTGAGGAGTGAGTGTAATAATAGTGTCTATCTGATTGTTAATGTTATTGGGTGCCCCTGAGTTGATTCTGACTCCTAGTGACGTCATGTGACAGAGAGAACTGCTCTATAGGGCTTTCTTGGCTGTAATCCTTACGGAAGCAGATTGCCAGGTCTTTTTCCCATGGAGCTGCAAGATGGGTTTGAACCACCAACCTTTAGGTTAGCAACCGAGCCCTTAACTGTTAGACTTTATTATTTGTATGTTTAAAAGCTTTGTTTTACCACTTAGTGTATAGAAGGACATGTAGTAGTATGTGTTTACTTACTTAACAAGAAGAGGAAGTCTTAGTTAATGCCCTAGAGAAACCAAAGGAGAAACCTTGTTCAGCATAGTACAATACCAAAACTGAAGCCTGGAGCCCCACCCTTTCTGCTGATGTGCCAGAGGTCACTTGGCAACGTAAGTGAACTGAGAGGAAAGCCCTCACAATCTTGTCTGGAGAATTGCTTAGAGGAGTTTTATCCTGGATTGTGTGGGTAGGTAAGTCTGAGTCTGTGAATATTTTCTTTGTCAAGGAAGTCTCTCAAAGATAAAAACAATTATTAATAGTAGAAGGTATTTCTAGACCCTAAAAAGCATATAGTAATACTTTTAGACCAAGTAAGTCCTTTGACAATTTTTAATATTCCCATTTGGTATTAAAAGTAGATTCTGAACTTGGTGCAATAGGTGGTATCCAAGCTCAGCAGGGTCCTGCCTTCTGCCTCCTGTCCTCTTCCTTATGTAGATGGGAATTTAAAGGATTTCCTTCCCTTAGGTCATGGTATCTAAGAGAATAACTATCTTTTTTTTTTTTTTTTTTCTTTAATATTATATCCAGGAGGAGCTCTGTTGACTATTAACAGTTGGGAAAGCACAGGCATAGTATATCAAGTTTTCTTAAAATTACTTGGAAATTAATCTGATATCAAGTTTTCTTAAAATTACTTGGAAATTAATCTGATTTGCTACTTTGGATTGATTATGCAGTGTTAGTTGTACTATTAAAACTTGCTCATTAACCAAGTTCGGTCTTCTTAGGTTGTTATTGGCTTTGAGTCTACAGATTTAACCCTGCCAAATTTCTGTGCAAACATTTTGCTTGGGACCTAAACAGTAGTCAAATGTGTGTATTTAAGGTTTTTTTTTTTTTTTAAACTCATGTATGTTAATGAACTTGTAAATATTTAAATAGTCAACCAATGGAAGTTTTTAAAGAAAGACTTTCAGAAAATCTAATTTTATAATTATTGTGTTTTAAATATCAAATTTGGGTTAAGTGACTGACATATATAATTGTTAATACATGTTGTTGGTTGTTGTTGGTTGTTGTCGAGTCGATTCTAACTCATGGAGAACCCATATGTGCGGAGTAGAACTTCTTCATAGGGTTTATCTTCTGGGCTGCTTCTGGGTGAGTTCCAACAGCCACGCTTCAGCCAGTAGTCAAGCAGTTAACCCTTTGTGCCACTCAGGGACTGCTTTTAATATATAGAGACTTAATATATGTCTTTTATTTTTGCAGCTCAGATTTATTAAAGTTTAATTTATTCAGAAGAAACCATTTTTTTTGTTGTTTTCTATTGCTAGTGATTTAGTGTAAGGCTAAGATTTATACCATTTAAAAATAAAACAAAAACCAGTAACTTTTGTTGGGAAATGTAAAGCTTGCCATGAGTTCAGGGGCCATTGTTATGGCTGTATTGATCCTTTTTAAAATACGTGTTTGCATATATTGATTTTCCAATAAAGTATCTGTTAAGAATCTTCTATGGCATATTCTTTTATACCAGCATTATCAATTTACACAGAGGTTAAGCACTGGATACAGTTTTTTTGTAGCTTCAGTAGTAGGTGAGATTCCTTGAAATGTTGCAAAGTCTTGTTGCAAAGCTTTGACCAGCTTTACAGGTCAAATTCTAAGGTAAATGGCTGTATCATGTTGAATGTAAATCTTACATGTCTGTGCCCTGGGAACAGTACGTAAAATGTTTTATCCTTTGACCTACCTGTTCTCACCTTAAAGGAGGCTATAACTGTATCCTTTGTACTTGGAGTTTTTAAAAGAAGTTTCTGTCTTGCAGCAACTGGACTTTGAAACAACCTCTTCAGGTTAACTTAAGTAAATTTCATACTAGGGGAATTAACTGTCAAGAGGATAAGCTGTTTAGTCTCATTTTCTATGTAAACAATTCTGAAGTAAATTGTGTAGACTAGTCTCTCTTGGTTTATTTTTCAGTGACATCATGTGTCATTTATCTTATCAAGGTAGATATGAAGTTTAGTTACGGGAACAGGGTTGGAGTTTTAAGGGACAAAAAGCAGCTCATTGTAGTTTAGACTTTTAATTAATAGCTTAGTAGAAATGTCTAAAATTTTTGTCCAGAGGATATAATGAAGTAGATTATTGTCATATAGTCTTTTGATTATTTACCTTATAGAATATTTTTAATTTAATTAAACAAATATTCTTTAAAAATGCCTTTGTATTTTAGAGTTTAGGTTTGTGGGTTTTTAAAAATTGTTTACCTTAACATGTCAGAACTTAAAAATGAACTTTTCCCCTTTGTGAAAAAGTATACTTCGTATTTTGGTTAAAATTCAAGGCAATTATATACAGGGATCTTGGATACAAAATATGTTAACAAGATTTCGGAATTTGATTAAAAGAAACATTTGGTAGTTTTAATTCTCAATATATTTTCTACCATGTTAAAGGGATTTGTGAAGTATTGTCCCTCCGTACCTGGTAATGTAACATCGGAACTGAGTGGGGTGTGTATTTCTTACACTTGCCTTATATTGCTAATGAACATTTGTTTTAAGAAGACTTTGGTTTTAGGAGCATTGGTATTCATTTTCTTGACTATTAAAAATATGTTAAGTGTCATATATTGAGCTGTAATTCAGAACTTTATTATTTAACTTTCCTAATTATATGATCCAAATCACCTAATTTAAAACTATGATAATGAATTCACTGACGGTATTATTATTGCTGTCAGGTTCTATTGTATTCTTTTTATCTTCATTGTTTCTAAGAAAATACCTTTCCCCCCGTTTTGCGGGTTATTTTTCTTTAGTCCATTAATTTAGGTAATTTGCCATACCAAATGACACAGTTAGTGTCCATTAAGTGGAGCTGTGAATATTAATCTTATGCACAAAGACTAGGATTGTGGCTGGGGAAAGCTCTCCTACTGCTCTGGCCTGACTTTCCAAAGGTTCTTTGAATGAATTCTCTTAACTTATTCAAAGCCTGTACTTGTGAAAGCCAGCTGGGCTCCCCTTCGCCCATTCATAAGTCATGTTGCATTCCCTTGGCCAAAAATTGTCAGTGGATTTCCCGTTTCCCATCATATAAAATCCCAGTTCCAGTTGTAACTTATCATATCTAGTCATCTATTTTAATTTATGGCCCAAACTTCTTGTTCTTTATACTTTACACCTCCCATTTCTTGCTTCTTTTTCTTTATCCATGCCTGATTAAAAAGTCACTCCTTCATTTCCAAAATTTACCTCACTCTTTTAGTCTACCAGCCAGTCCCACAAAGTTTCTCCTGGTTCCCTCTCCCAACATTGAAAGTAATCTTTCTGTTTTGTACTGTCTGCATTTTCTTATGATGCTTTGTGTTTTATGTTATAGTTATTTTTACACATGCTGTAATATTTTACATGGTGTAAGCTTGTTGTTGTGTGTTGACTGAGTTTAAATGATTAACTGAGTGATTTAAGTCTCTATCTATTACCATATAGGTCAGAGGTGTTCTTGTCTTGTTTCTCCTAAGTCGCTTTATATTCAGTAGTTGCTCATTGTAAATATTTGGGAACTGAATAAATGGAATAGCATTACAGTAAGCTGTTGATGAACAGACATTTTACTACTCTGTTGGAATGGACATTTGGGAGCAGGGGAAGTCGACTGGAGATCTAAACAAATGTGGTATGGCTGTCTGAATCCGAGCTGTCCCCAGCAGGGAAAGCTGAAGAAACAATCAAGGATACAGTGAAAATATGTTTTAGATAGTGGCTCAGTATTGACAGGGAAAGAACAACTCTTTCTAGATAAAGACGTTGGGCTGATAGGAAGTTGAAGGTTAACACAGGCTTTGTAGATAGTGACTACAGTTCTGAGTCAAAGAGGATTTTTCATTAGTTCGTAATTTGGGAATAAATACAGTTCTTCTGTAATGCTAGTTCTGAAAATTAGAATTTGTTCCTACATGATTGATATTAGGGAACAATTTGAGCATAACGCAGATTTCACGTTTGCTTATATGTGATTTCATCTGAGAATACTAGATAAATGCAGAAAATTTCCCTTAGCTAAACTGAGCTTTGTAGGAATACATACATCTCAGACATCTTCCAGCCACCTTGCCGTTCACCCTGTGCGATGAGCCACACCTATCCACAGCTCTTGTTATAATTTCCTCCAGATTTCAGGTAACCCTCAGTCATGGATTGAATGGTATCCCCCAAAAATATATGTCAGCGTGGCTAGGCCATGATTCCTGGTATTAATGTGATTGTCCTCCATTTTGTGATTTGATGTAATTGTCTTCCATTTTGTGATGTGTTGTAAATCCTAACCTCTATATATTAATGAGGCAGGATCAGTGTGGGGTGTATCTTGAGTCACAGCCTTACAAGAGGGCGTGACTCAAGTCACACATTTACTCAAGTCACACCCTTACTTAAGTCACACCTTTTACCTTACAAGAGATAGAAGGAGAGAGAAGCAGGCAGAGAGTGGGACCTCACTACCACCAAGAAAGAAGAGCCGAAATCGCAGCACATCCTTTGGACCCAGGGTCCCTGCGCTAAGAACCTCCTAGACCCAGTGGAAGATTGATGCCAAGACACATGGAGATCTCCAAGGAACGCTGGGCCCACAGATGTTGAAAGGAGACAAGGACCTTCCCCCAGAGCTAACAGAGAAAGCCTTCCTCTAGAGCTAGCATCCTGAATTTGAACTTCTAGCCTCCTAAACTGTGAGAGAATTAGTTTGTTTGTTAAAGCCATCTGCTTGCGGTATTTCTATTGTAGCAGCACTAGATAACTAAGACACCTTCCTACCACCACTTTCCAATAACTCACAAGTTGTAACCCTTCAGACACCCACTTCCACAAGCAAACTTCAGGTCTTTTTCAAGATAAAGTGCCATAATAATTGTAGCTTTATGTATATTTTGACCCATTTAATGTGTAAAACTATGCTGTGGTCTTTGTTAGGTTCTTGTCTTCTGTTTTTATGTGCTATTGACAAATTTTTGAGTATTGACTCCTTAACCCCAGGAGCATTGTGGTTGGAATTGCATAATTTTACATACTATCTTGGTTTTTAGGAATGCATATGTCACACTACAACAGAGCTGACTGGACAGCATTCAGAATGAGAACTGACAGTTCTTTCTTTCCTTCTCTCCCATCCTCATTCCCTCTCTCTCCCTCTTTTCCTTGCCATCACCCTTCTCTCTCCTCTTTTCCCTTTCGCCTCC